AAAAAATGTATTAATTTATCAAGCAGTAATAGTGAGATTAATTCACAATGACTGCCTGATATAATTAAATAAATAAAATTTGTCAGTATAAAAAAAGTGAAAAGTGTAAATAAATTTAAAAAAATAGTGAAAAGTGTAAAAAAATTAAAAATAAGGGACAAATAAATGAATGTATGTATTGCATTTTTTTTTAGCTGTGCTGGTTTTGTTAAAAAAAAATACTACAAATCAAAACTGGGAAAAAAAGTTTTTTTTTACGTTTTTTCCTCTTTTTTTAATTTGTATTTGTCCTAAGTGAGGCAAGCCACACACATATGTGATATAAATATATAGCCCTATCTGTCCTCTAAAAAACAATATATAATATGTGTGGGTGCACTTTGTAAGAAAGTATATTACTGACGTGGAAGAATCACACAGCAAAAATGTCAAAAGTGTGTCAGTCATTTACGAACAGAAACCAAAAACAAGCTCAGTCATGAAGGGGTTAAACTGCATTACCCTGCAATCAACTCCATCATGAACTTCGGGGTTAAAGATATCTCTCCACCTAAATTCTTTCTCGCTATCATTTTGCACAGGATAGTGTGCAAAGGAAATACCTGCAGCCCAAAATATCTACGACTTATGGTTGTAGGACATACTAATTTGCTTTGATCTCAATCAAAGAGTCAATAAGAAATAATCTAATAAATAATCATTCTATCCAGTCAAAAGATTAAGGTCAGAAACATTCAATGTTTAAGGCACAGAATATAGACATTCTCACACAAGCTTGAGTTTGTTTATCGAAGCTGTCACTAATGCTTTCACATAGGGGATAGTTAGCCCCTTTTTGATAGAAAAAGTTAAATGTACAAATGTCAAAAATTAAATTAAAAAATTAAACCAACCCTGCTACCCCTGCCATCTGATTCTAAATTTTATACACCAGGCCTCTGGATTAGAGCAGCATGAAAAACCATATTTTTTGAGGAATCATGACAAAACATTTTTTTTTTCGTTTAATGTACTAAAAGACAGTACAATCATGTTATGAAAAATAACAAATAATGACACACTAAATTTCCACACCAAAGAAAAAATACACAATTGTTTTTTTCCAGTTCTTGGTAGACAAGGAAAGATGGCTATATTTCTACTGTAAGGAACCTGCAAATATTCACAATTATGATCTACAGTCTATCAGTTTTTTTATAGTTTCCAAACTGGGGTCATGAAGCAAAACATTCCCTCTGCCAGCCAGGACTGCAAGGGGTGTCAACTTTGGCTGGAGGGAACTAGTTTCATGATCTTTTTAAACTAATGGCCTCCATTGGTAACACCACATAATAACTGCTTAAATAATCATAATACACCAATGATATGTTCCCATTTCATAGAATAGTATGATGATTCCATACATATCAAACATCAATATGGTATAACCTCAGAGTATAACTATATATTTAATAGCTGTATAACATATTTATATTTGATATTTGTAGTCACGTGTTGTGATATGGACTGTGTGATGATTAAACATTACATTTAATGACATGTGTAAACTTTTAGTGACCTCTGCAGAATTTTATTTATGGATGTTTGAGAACTTCCTTATTAGCATTTGATGTGCCAGAGCTTGATCGTTTGCCATATGGTGTGACACTTTTATATTTGAAAGCACTACTGTCTCATTCCAGACACCATTCATCATCAAGTAAATAAGCATTGCATATTCTCAGCTGTCCCGGGTTAACTCTCACATTGTCTGTTTCACAGCAGCCTCATTGCCTGAGGTGATCATGAATTCTACAGTGACTATTTTCTTGTACAAAAGTCAACAGCAGCACTCACACTGAAAGTAGAAATATTCTTGGTGCTGGTAGGACATTTTTTTGCAGCCACAATCTCACCATATTTAATTCTCAACTGAAGTCACATAAATAGATTTACAGTCAGATAAACATTGTACCATTAATCTTATCAATTTAATAGTTTTATCTCTATTTTTCTGTTACAGAAGTTGCATTTTTCTGTTACAGAAGTTGCATATGTTGTCTAAATATGAATGGGGAGTGAGAAAAGCAATAGAAAAGAACCACTGCTCTCAGTAATGAAGGCAGACCTGCTCAGACAAGCCCACTCCTCTTCTCTGCAATACAATTCTTTGTGAAGCAGTTTGTGCTGAGCAGTTTGTCTGTTACTCAGCTCTGCCAGCATAGGCCACTGCTGTGTGAGAGTTCAAGAAGAAATGTAAAAAATAGTCTTTGCAGTGGGGCTACCCCCAGGGCAGTATTTCCCACAAGGCCAACCAAGGCCTGGCCTTGGGGCAGCAGGGAGTAGAGGGGCAGCAGGGGTGTGGAATTCCTATCTCCCGATGCTTGGGACATGCAGTTCTGGGCACCGGGCGGGTGGTTGTTATCTACATTTAGCCCTGCTTTGGGCAAGCAGAGCTAAATGTACAGCAGGGAAGCCGCCTCTTGTTATGTACAAGTGGTACCGGTGATATATTGTATGCAGCCTGCAGGTTCTCCATGGGGGGGGGTTGGGGGGAAGGGGGGGCGCATTGAGGAGCCTGGCCTTTGGTGCAGCAGAGAGAGTAAATCCGGCCCTGGCTACCCCCACACTGCAAGAATGAACTGCTCGGTTTGGTCTAGGGCCTAAAATAAAGGAAATATGTGCACCTGATCCTTGGTTCTGTGGGAATCAGCACCCAGCTCTCTCCCCCCTCCGCTCTGGTGGTGGAACATTCCTCAGTGTCCTCACATCATGGGTCCTTAGACTGCCAGAGCCTGGGGTAGAAGAGGCTGCTGGGACTGGTCTAGTGGCCAAGCTAAACCGAAGATCAGTTGAGTATATTTTCTTTATTTTAGTCCCTAGACCAAAACAAGCCATAAATCCTTGCAGTGCAAGGGTAGCCCCACTGCAGGGGTTAATTTTTACATTTCCTGGAGGGTGGACTATAGAGTAAAGTCAATAGGACAGGTACCTGAGGACATAAACTAAAGAAATCCCCCTCAGTCAGGCATAGCAGGGTAGATTATGTGAGTTTAGCTCAGGTTTTGTTATACCTAATCTACTGGGATATATGATTATATAGGATCAACGCTGGACATTTTCCCTAAGCTCCAGATTGCATAGTTAGTCCTGTACATGAGAGATAAGTATTTATTTTCTAAGTTTTAACATTAGCCATCCCTCATCCATTATTTGGCCAGCTTTAAAAACCATTAAAAAAGACAACATGGGTTTTAGAATTAAAAGCAAAAAAGTATAAAATGTTCTTTAGTATAAAAGTATAAAATGTGTTTTAGTATAAAAATGGCGGGCTGTGAATATTGCAAAAAATAACACTAAAAGTGCCGTTAACTCATTGTAACCAATTCATTAGTCCTGTACATGAGAGAGACAAAGCATTTATTTTCAAAGTAAATATTATTCACCCCTCCTGCAGTATTTGGCCAGCTTTAGATACCATAAAGAATACAAAGATGCGCTTCAGTATAAAAAATTACAAAGGCTGTTAATTATGCAATGAATCACTTTAAAAGTGCATTTAAATAATTGCAAACAATCAGCTATCATTTTATTCTGCCATAGTTACTTTAAATTCTTAATTGGTAAATTCTGACTAATTGGTTGCCACACATTACTGCACTTTTCAAATCATCATGAACTGCCTTGTTGGATAAGTCCATATCAAATGAAAAAGGCAAAGTGTAATTTCTTAAACATACGTTGAGGTTTGCCCTTGTTGTAGTACTGTGGTACACAGGTATGCATGAAAATGGAATCCATTACTATGCAAGGTTTAGGAAAACGCAAGACAGTGAATCTAACTTGTCATCGTCAAAGGAAATTCTAACATTTGACAGAGTTCTGGGCAAGCATGAGTCTTTCTGATATTTTGTGAATGTTCAGAACATAGAATTTTGTTTTCTTCACCCCCGTATTTACTTGCTGTATTTAACAAAACACCAGTTTTCTAAATTTTTGTGTGGCATATTACATGCTCAAAAGCTGTTTCATGGCTGCACTCGTATTTTCATAGTTCTCATCTCTCATTTTGCATAACTGCATAATCTGTAAAGAAATGCTATTTGGTAGAGTTTTGTGTATCAAAGATAGCTATAGACATTTATGGTCTATTGAAAGTTATGTTTATACTAAGAAGCACATTTCAATCAATTCTGTGATGAGCCAAGCACACTTAATAATTCAGCAATATAATGGTATACCTAGATTTTGCCACGGTCTGCCTTACTTAAATTGGAACTACATCCTCCTATCCCTTACAGCCAAGGAAGCCTCTGTTTGGATTGCAGTTGCTATGGTGCTGCACATGTGATCAGCTATGACACCAGCCATATGAGGGTTTAATAGTTCCATTGAGAGCTCAAATAAGTACACTGGCAACCTTGACAGTTGGTATGCCTTAAAAGTAACTGTTTTTAGAGATAGTAAATTGGTAGTGGTAAATATACTGTGATTATCAGAATTCAGTAATTTTAGAAACATAGCCCTCTAAAATACAACCCTAAATTGGGCACTAGAGTCCTGCTAGGGTTAGCTCCTGGTGGAGTTCATACTTCTGCATTGAGTCAAGCATACTCATCCCTTTTCCATGCATAGTTGAAATGTCAATTTTGGAATCAGGTCTAGCTATGGTCAATTATTTCTTCCAATGCTATGATATAGAATAGATATCTATTGTTTCATAATTGAACTGTACCCTAGTGGACCCTGCGTTCACAGTTAAAAAGGGGCAAGTTTACAAATGGAGTTTCCAATTTTTAAATTATGTTGGGGATTACAAAACAAATCGTTAATGCCTAAATCCCTACTTAGACACATTCCTACATCACTTGTTCTAGAGATTGTAGCTTGGCAAATTAGAATGAAATACATATTTTAAAAATAGTTGTCTGAAATGTATTTGTGAAAATAAATGTGTGTGGTTTGTTTTGTGCAAAACTGTGATATATTTTTTTTTTTAAATTCTTAATTGTATTTTCCAGCTTCACATAAAACCGTAAATTGGAATCTTGGTGCAAACCAGGAAGTCTGGGTTTGGGTCATGGGTGAACATTCATCAGACAAACCTTATGATGTTGTCTGTGATGAAATAATTGCAGAACAAGCACGCAAGCAAGCAGAGAAAGAAGCAGAAGAGCGGAGGTAGGGTTAAGACCGAAAATATAACAACATTTTAAATAGGCAAATCTATTTTTATGTTTTGGTTAAAGAAGCATTAGAACCTTTGCCAGGTTATGACTGCTATCTTTGTTCCCATTAACAAAATTTGCCACAACTTGCTATCTCAATGGCACAACAAGAAGTAAGAAAACAACATAAACATTACAGAAGTTCTAACCATTCACTATTCTACTATAAAAAGTGTTTTTATTGCTGTCTTTGCCTCCTATTGAAGATCAATTTTAATTTCCTGTCCCAGTGACACATCAGGATGGAAACCATGGGGAAGACAAAAGCTATGAAAACAAAAAGTAATTGTCAAAGGCACACACACCAATAAAACTGTACCTCAACCATCCCACTGTTTTCAGTCACTTGTTTCTAGTAGCCTGTGTTTTGGGAACATCAATTGCTGAAGCATGTAAATGTTCAGACTAGTATTTTAAAATCCACCCACTATAGGCTCCTTGCTATCTGCTTTTTGTTGAGGATATTGCAAGAATATTGCTTGTTAAAGATGTTTGCATATGCAGTCAGGGGTAAAGTAAAGTGTCTAAGGCAACAACTTTAACAGGGTTATTCACAAAGCTGCTGAAGTCAGCCGTGTGAATAACCGACCCGAAGTGAAGTGAGCCGAACGCTGTATGGCTATTCACTTCAGGCTTGTACAGCTGATTTCAGCCATGCATCGGCTGAAATCAGCAGCACATCGTCTTGCTTCGGCTGGCTTCGGGTCCGCGGAACAAGCAGAACATGTTCGGCCTACCCGCAGTGCAGTAGGAGTTTGACTCAGCCGATCCAACATCAGGATCGGGTGGGGCAAAACCTCCGGCAGCCTACCCGCTGCTGTTCAGCCTATTCTCATAGGAGCCGAACAGCAGTGAGTGAATACCTCCGTGGTACCGAGCAGAATAGAAAAACAGTTAAAAAAAAAAAGTAGAAAACGATTTAGCGGAGCTAGCAATGACAGCTAGCTCCACCTAACTGTTTCCTATTGGGCGGGACCTGCTGTCATTACAATAAGAGCTTGGCAGAGCCGGCTGTGAGATCATGGCTGGCTCCGTCCAGCTATCAGTCAAGAGGCTTTCGGCCGGCCAATGGCCGGCTGCCCGGCCTGCTTCAGGTTTCGTTGCCGCTCGGCAAGCCTCCGGCTTGACTGAGCTGCTCGGCCAGCTTCGGGAGCTGTACAGGCTATATTGAAAAACCCGTACAGCTGCCCTTCGGTTATACTGAACCGAAGGGCTCAGGCGGCCGAAGCTAGCTAAATTCAGAACTGCAACATATTGCCGCTTGAAGTTTAAGGGAGGATTTACTATAGGACTTATTTTAATTTCTGAATGTTTTCACATCAAATATCCAATCGGTACAATGGGGGCATAACAAAACTGACATTTCCTGTAAACCTAGACACTTGGAATAAACACAAACTAGAATTAAGCAGATATAAACCAAATTACTAAAATGTCATACAAGCTTCATCATATTAATATAATTTCCAAAGTTGTTTTTCTATTTTTTTTTTAAACATGCAGCTTTTAATTAAAAGAATACCTGGTGATTCTGTTATGACTGTCTTTGTTTAGGCACTCACTGCCATGGGGATTGACAACAGTCTGGTAATTGTACTCCTGTGATCACCCTGTAACATGAGCCCCTGCTGGTGATTACAAGTGGCTGTGCCAACTCTTAGTTATTCAAACTTGGCCCACTGTTATCAACATTAGGGAGCCAAACCGAACCATGTACAGGAAGTGGTTGAAAGTAGCTGGAGGAGATCAACAGCACTGAGATGTAAATGAGAATTGGAAAAAGTAGGGGTTTTATTAAAAAAAAACAAAAAAACATTGCATTTGTTTATCAAACACAGTGCTTTAGCAAACTTAAGTTCACCTAGTTAGTTTATATCTACCCTTTTTTTTAAATCCGTCCCATAGACACCCTAGCTTCATATATTAGCAGCCAATGTGAATATCACAAATTGGTATAAACCACTGTCTTAAAAAAACAAAAAACTGCTGCATTCGACACAAAGTGGTTTTAATTTTGGGTCAAAGTTTAAAATTCAGTTCTGTTAAAATGGCTTGTCCTGAACAAGAAATTGTTTCCTCAAATTAAAAGAGTGTCTCTGAATATTATTTTACTCTGCTTTTTTTTGTGGATCCTTAATACAAAGTAATTCTGAGCATTTAAAAAAATAAAATTATTGTACCTAAATCGTATACACCAGCCTTTCACAACCTTTTTAAAAATGAGGGACCCTTAAAATAACTTTTCAGGTCTCAAGGAAGCCATACTAATACATTATTAATGAATACTTATAAATGATTACTTTAATAATGAAAATGTGAATTACATAATAATGATAGTAATAGGCAACCCCCTCCCCCCCAAAAAAAATTTTTTTTCCTCACATTGGATCAGTGAAGTGCCCCCTTTCATTAGTGGTCAGTTAAGAAGGGGACCCCTTATGTTGATTGTTGTTTGGGAAAAGGGTCTCTTTAAACTAACAGGAAGAATGTTCCCCTCACAGGCATCTTAAAAAATAATTGGAGTCCGTGGCTACATATCCGAGAGGCAGAAATACCTAATAGCTCAAGGATCCCCTAGCAATTGATGGAGGAACCTTAGGATTTCACGGAACCCTGGTTGAAAAAGGCTGGTATATACTAATGGACTGGATATTTGTATAAACCCCTTGCTAGGTTGTAAAATTATTTCTTTAAGAAAACAGCCCCAAAGAATTAACGTTTTTATTATTGTGGGTGCGGGTTCTTTAGGTTTCATCCTTTTGCTTTCAAGCAGCAGTAACCATTTTAAAAAAGCATTTAATATATTTTAATGATTACAAATAAATGTTTTGCTAATTTAGTGGATTTAGTGATGGTCTTTTACTTGTGAGGTCCTAGCTCTTTACTTCAAACAATGTTGTCACAGAATGGTCTTAAGCAACCTTCAGGTGTGTCAGTAGATGCGCCCATTGGATGATTGTTTAGTTTGAATAGGTTAAATGAGGCAATAGTCTCTTATCTTACCATGCTTTCTAATTTATTGCATGAAGACTGCATTAAAGTGTCATAATCATATGTGACTCAGTAATAGCTGAGTCTGGCTTTCTTTATAATTTCCTGTTCAAAGGTCGAGTAGACTGGTCGAGTAGACTTTTTAAAGTTATTACCACTGAGCTAATGAGCCAAAGTAGGCTACCTATTTAGACAGGTAGTGGAAGGAGGCCCTCCACTGTCATTTGTACATGTGGAAATATATATATACAGAGCTATGCAATCCATTAAATGTAAACAGGATACAGAGGATGAGCTTAAAGCATTTAACTCTGGAAAGAATGGGGAAGGGCTGGGACCACTGTCAGGTTTTTCTTTTTTTTTAAATCTCCAAACTGTGTCATTGTTTCTGTTTTTATATGGTGGCATTGATACCATGGCTGAAAGTGAGAGAAAATCCTAAAAGTGTAGTTGTACTAGAGATAGAAATAGTGAGTAAATCTTTCAATGGGGACATTTGTTGAGGTGACGGCTAACAGAGGATTTTTCTCACTGTGGAGTGATATCTTACCACTTCCTGTTGTACCTACTTGCCTTACTGCATGAGTACTTAAATGGATTTTCTGTCCCACAGGAGAGCACAAGAACAAGAATTATCCAAACTAACAAAGACCCTGACATTGCGCACACAGAATGAAACAGTGGAGAGGTGCAAGGAAAATTCTGAAAACAAGTTTACAGCAAAAGAAGAAGCTAAAATAGCAGAAGTTAAAATAAATGAGGAGAATGAGGTAATTCTGATATGAAACTGATGCAGTACAATCCATAAATATTTGGAATTATTATTATTTAAAACCTTGTATATATTATTATTATTAAAACTAAACAATAAAGGTGATCAGCGCCAGTAAGTGTAATGTGGAAATATGAGCTACCAAGCACTAAGGATATAACTAAATATCTGTAAAATGTGAAAAAACAATATTGTGCCGAGCTAATAATCATACATATCTAATAAATTAAAACATATATAAATGAGTCACATATATGAGCCTTCAAACAAATGAGGCATAAGAAATATCTACACACATACAAAAAAGCAATAAGATAGAGGGTCAACTTAGAGAGGAGCCAATGAACCTAACAGCATGTCTTTGGACTGTGGGATAAAACCGGAAGTACCCGGAGGAAACCCACGCAAGCACAGGGAGAACATGCAAACTCCTTATTTATTGTGACATTTCATGTCAGTGGTAGAGCTTTCAAGACTCAGTCCACTCACCAACTTGCATTTAGGGGTTTTCCGCCCCCTTTTATTCAACAGAAAGTTTCCCACGCATGAGGCTTTCAACACCACAGTTAAACAATGGAAAATATTCAGCATCCTGAGTATGTTTGTTCCGCTCAGATGGACAGTCAGAACCTACTAGAGATGTACTCTATATATGCATTCAGTTACGTACTCTACATATGCATTCAGTTACATACTAGATATTAACCAGACATTGCTAAACACTTCAAAACCTTCCATAACTTCCCTGGTCAGATGGTCATCATTTGTAAGAACCCTTACTACATCTGAAGCACACAAAATACTATCCCAGGCTCTATGGATTCCTCATAGAGGCAAGCATGACAGCGTAAAGTGCAGTAACCCATAGTAGGTCAGATATTTCCAAATACTACTGACACCTGCTAGAGGTGTAGCAATGACCAAGGTATACAAACTAGACATTAACAAGAGAACCCTAAACACGAAAACAAAACCTCCACAACCCTCCTCATTGGCCAGATTGTCAACTGCTTTGAAGAATATTACTTGAATATTGAAGGATGGCTGGCATTCATTAACAGAAGGTTGTACACACAAACTTGGTGCTTCTGGTTTAAATTTAGAGGAACTGACAACTTTAAATCATGCTTTAAATGATTCAATTAAATATTTTCCTGTCTTTTCTCTCTACTAGTCTCTGTAGTTATAGGAGCTATTTCTCCCATGGTGTAGTGGATCTTTTCACGTTTACCATAACAGATTGCTTTGAGTGGTGATCTAATGGGTTCGTATGCTTCTTTTTTTCTCCCCTTTTATTCCTTATCTTTCACCTTTTATTCATTTCACCCATCTTCTTCTCCTGTTTTCTGTAAAACAAAATGCAAGGTCTGCTTATTGCCTAAGTCCCTTCCCTCCTACCGTAATAGAAAAACACAAATTATAAACATTAAAAAAATTAAACAGGAGAAATTAAGTAATAATGCTTACCTTACACTGCAGCTTCCAGTACTTTCATAAAGGTTGCAGGTGACGTCACTCGGCCTTCTTGCCTGGGAAAGCTAAGGAAACCAAATCTCATGAGAAGATGCTCCAGGACTGTGTAGGATTGCACTGTTAGATTTGGGATCCTCGTTTTTTCCCAGACAAGATCATCACCCTCGCCTAGGCTATGATTCCAGAAGCCGGGGTGTAAGGTACATTTTTTCTTCTCTTTACGCTTAATTGTGCTCTGCAGTTTGTACACTGAATCACAGCATTTTGATTTTGTGCATTTGTCTTTTTATTATTTCCAATTAACAATATTGTGGATTTACTTATATTCAGATGTCTGTGACAATACTCTTTTGAACTATGCTTTTTTGCTGATTTTCACAAATGATAACAAAAAAAACCTTATGGTAAAGCAGACTTTCTATGAAAAAGGAAGGACCGCTCTACTGAAAGCCTCTCAACCCCAAAATGAGATCACCTAAAAAAGAAGTTTATTTAATTCTAGCTAATAAGAAAAGGAAAAAAAAAGTACTTACCTTGGCTTGACTCTTGAGGCTTCTGGGAGGTGTGGGTGATGTGACGATGCATCCTGGAATCCCATCAAGAATGCAGCTCAGTCTATTGCATGGACGCATTCTCATGGGATTTGGAGCGCCCGCCTTTTCCAAGAGGCAAAGTGACATCACCTATGCCTCCTAGAAATGTCACAAGTTAGGGCCAGGTAATTTTTTTTTTTAACAGCTATATTTTTAAAATTACTTTGTATGTAA